TTCTCTAGGAAAGTGTGGGTTTATCTTCTAGAACATAAGTCTGATGTTTGTGAGAAGTTTAAAGTCTGGAAGTTACTTGTAGAAAATCAAACTGGACAGAATGTTAAGACCCTTAGGACTGATAATGGCCTAGAGTTCTGTAACCAAGAGCTTGACCAACTGTGTGCCACTTCAGGCATTAGGAGACATAAGACTGTGCCCTACACCCCCCAACAGAATGGGGTGGCTGAAAGGATGAATAGAACCCTTCTTGACAAGGTTAGGAGTATGTTGTCTACCTCAGGTTTACCTGAGAAGTTTTGGGGTGAAGCAGTCACCACTGCCACCTATCTGATTAATAGATCTCCCTCTGTTCCCATAGGGGGTCAATGCCCTGAAGTTAAGTTTACTGGTGGGCCTCTTGACCTAACAAACCTTAGGGTCTTTGGGTGTGCTGCCTATGTTCATCAGAAAACTGATAAGTTAGATCCTAGATCCAAAAAGTGTGTGTTCTTGGGTTATCCTGATGGGGTAAAGGGATATAGGTTATGGGATAGAAGTGTGCCTGGTTTTAAGGTGGTTATAAGTAGGGATGTAATTTTTAATGAATTTGATTTCCCTTGCTTGCTTAAACCTGTCTCTGAGCATGAGCCTGAGAGGACACCTGTTGAGGTGGAGCCTCAGACTCCTTCTGTACCTATTATTCTTGTTGTTATGTATGACACTCCTCCTGTTGTTCCTGTCATCCCTTCTGATGTGCATGTTAATACTTCTTCTGATACTGCTACCTCCGGTGAGGTGGAGTTTAATACTCAAGATGACCATGTGCAAAATGATTCTCTGTCTGGTGAGACCAATGTGTTTGATGATTCTGCTGAGGATGATAATGTTGATTTGCATGACTACCAACTTGTTAGGGATAGGGGTAGAAGAACCATTAAGAGAAAATCTGATACTTTGTCTGATTATGCTTTTACTGTGTGTGATATATCTGATTTTGCTTTTACTGTGTTTGAGGCCCTAGGCCTAAATGAACCTAAGACCTATAGTGAAGCTATAAGGTCCAGAGAGTCTCAGAGATGGCTTGAGGCCATGAAAAGTGAGATGGACTCTCTAAGAGTGAACCAGACTTGGACCCTTGTTCCTAGACCTAATGCCAGCTCAATGGTTGAGTGCAAATGGCTGTTTAAGGTCAAGGAAGAACCGGGTAATAACATTAGGTATAAGGCCAGGTTAGTTGCCAAGGGGTTTACTCAAAAAGAGGGGGTAGATTATGCCGAAATCTATGCTCCTGTAGTTAAGTTTACTACTGTTAGAATCATGTTGGCATTGGTTGCTCACCATGACTGGGAGATGAAACAAATGGATGTCACCACTGCATTTCTGCATGGTGAATTGGATAAGAAAATTTACATGACTCAACCTGAGGGCTTTGTGGATCCCAAGAGGAGTGACCATGTCTGTCTGCTTAGGAAGGCCTTGTATGGCCTGAAGCAATCCCCTAGGCAGTGGAATATTAGGTTTGACAAGTGTATGCAGTCTATGAAATTTGTGAAATCTACCTGTGATCATTGTCTTTATTTCAAGAATACTAATTCTGTACCTGTGTTCTTGTTAATCTATGTGGATGACATGTTGATTATTAGCCCTTGTCTTAAATCTATTATGTCTGTTCAAAAATGTCTTTGTGAGAACTTTGCGATGAAAGATCTTGGTGATGCCAAGAGGATACTTGGGATTAACATTATTAGGGACAGGAGCAAGCATACTCTTGTTCTAAATCAGATTTCGTATGTTGAGAAGGTTTTGAGTAAGTTTAATATGTCTTCTGCTGCACCTGTGCATGTTCCTCTTGCCTCTCATTTTGTGCTAAGTAAGAATCAGTCTCCTAAGACTGCTTCTGAAATTGAGCTTATGAAGTCTGTTCCTTACTCCAATGCTATAGGTTCTGTGATGTATCTGATGGTTAGTTCTAGACCTGATATTGCCTATGCTGTGAGTTGTTTGAGTAGGTTTATGTCTAATCCTGGTATGCCTCATTGGAATGCTTTGAAATGGCTTTTGAGATACTTCCGGATTCTGACTTAGAGGCGTTCAGTCATAATCCAACGCACGGTAGCTTCGCGCCACTGGCTTTGAAATTTTCTGCAAATCATGGTTTGATTTTTACTAAGTGTACTGAAGGTGTGAAACTGAGTGGTTATGTTGACTCTAACTATGCTAATGATAAAGACAATAGGAAATCTACCACTTCCTATGTGTTCACTTTGTGTGGGTCGTGTATTAGTTGGAAATCTCAGTTACAACCAATTGTTGCCTTATCAACCACTGAAGCTGAGTATGTTGCAGCTACAGAAGCTTTCAAGGAAGCCATCTGGTTAAGTCGTCTTGTTGCTGAAATAGGTTTTCTTAAACAGGATGTTACTGTGTTTTCTGATAGCCAGTCTGCTATCCAGCTTTGCAAAAACCCTGTTTTTCATGATGTTTCTGAGGTTCCATTTTATTCGTGATGTTTTAGATGCAGGTAAAGTGAAGCTGTGCAAGATACCCTCAGAGTTCAACCCTGCAGATATGGGGACGAAGTGTCTATCTGCTGAAAAACTTTTGTCTTGTAAACGAATTTTGAATTTGGACTGCGGTTAACTCTGTTTGCAGGTTTTGGGTATGTTGGAGGGTAGATTCTTGAAAGCGTAGTGCTTGAGAGAATCTACTTTCACGGTTAGGGAGAGTACCTTGGGTACTTCTCCAATTTCCTTTTGGGAGTATTTTGTGTATCTCCAATTTGTTTGCCAGTTATGTCTTTAGGATATCACTGGTGACCCAGCGATGATGAACCACGTGCTCATGTTACTTTGTGATACCATGCACCACCAATGATGGTCAATAAGGTGGAGAGTGTGGAGGTATTGGCCCCACGGGCCAAGGCAGCACTCTCCTTTCTTTGTTGGGCCTGTTTGCTTACCTCTTGCCCTGGCCCATGTTGTTCTGCCGCTAGCCCTTCTTCTGGAACCCTCCTTTAGGGCTTCCCCTCTTGCCCGGGTACTTAAGCTCCTCTACGCCTTTGGTTGACGTAGAGGTCTTCAGTTAGAGAGAGAGAGTGAGGTTAAGAGAGAAGTGAGAGAGACTTCTGTCTCTTCTCCATTCTGGTCCCTCTGTGGTATTCTCTCTGTGCTTCCCCTTTTCTGACCTTTGGCGTGCGTTGAGATGGCTGGGCTGGTCTGAGTGTTCTTGTCCTTTCCGGTGGTGCTTTAGTGTGTGTGCTGTATGAGCGTGGTCTGAGCTGGAGAGGTGAAAACCTGACATTTATTATTATTTACTTTTAGTTCTTTCGATTTTTCTTTGTTCGACTTATAGTTGACTAAGGCAGTAGGGCATAGGGACATAGCCACCTAGGATATATTCTAAATATGTTGATGTAATGAATAATTGAAATTGTAATTTTGAATTATTTAAATATAACTAATATGTGATTAAAAGAGTCTATTTAATAATATCCAAATCGGTTGTATTGGTTAATTTTGTTGAAATTTATGAAATTCTGGCTGAAATGATTGAATTGGTTGATTCTAGTGATTTATGGGAAAAAATTAAAATATATTTTGTTAATAAAATAAAGAAAAAAGTATACGAAAAACTATTAAAATGATAATATGTAGTAACTTCAGTCAATACCGTCAGAAAAGTAACTGCAACCTTCACTACAGCCAATATCGTGAGAAAAGTAACTTAAACCTTACCTTTTCTTATTATGACAAAAGTGAACGTGTGAAATCAAGAGTTACATATTTGGCGAAAAAGTGGACTGATAAGTCAAATAAGCCGAAAAACAGGGTCACCGAACGGGCTCTAAATTTATATTTATGAACCATTAATTTATATTTAGTACTCCGTATTATTTTCAATGAAATTATAAGTTTTGCAATGATTAGAAAACAAAAATATGATTCGGGATTACAAAAACAAAGAACAAATTAAGAAAGGATTTGGTCATGAAATCACTTGCTCCGTTGCTCACTCTATGGATTGATATGTAAGCACAATACCTTCTCCCTCAAATATTGTTGAGAACGAGAGTACGTAATAGTACATGATACACATCGTATGTAAGTTACTTCTATTTAATTGCTACTATTGTTTATTATTGTTTATATCTTTGTGTTAAATATAACATATTTAAACAAAATGTCTACATGATTGTCTAGGACCTCATAATTGTTCTAGCCAGTCCTGCGCTTATAAGAGTAATTTATAGCATTTAGAAGTTTGAACTGGGGGCGTAGCTCACCTGGTAGGAAAAAAGTGTCACAAGGGAGAGATCTCGGGTTCAACTCCAAACAATGACTTGATATGAAATGAAGTTTCACTCTCATTACATCAGAGTGTGACCAAAGCTCAACTTACATCCTTTCAAATAACTGTCGGGTCGGTTTTGGCCCCCCTCAAGGATATATATCATCCTTTTTTATACTCCGTAACAATCAGAAATATTTCTACATTTTCACTCAAATATTTCCATTTGCTCCTTGAAGGTGTAGAAACAATTTTAAGAAGAAAACACCCCTTACATGCTCGACCAACTCATCATCTATATTATTATTGAAAAATTCTGTTTGTATCCACCTCCTTGTAACCACCCTTGTGATAAGATTATTTTTTGCCTATCAATCTCGTTCACATACCAAAAATAGATCTCTCATATAGATAGGTGTAAGGAAGTAGATACATGTAACAAAACTGATTATTATTTTGGATTTTAATGAAATTGGAAGAAAAATCACAAAAAGAGAAGATTGATTACAAAGAAGTGGGAGAATTAGCCCTAATGCCCTATATTTATTTATTTAATTGTCCACCGAAAATACCCCATATTGGAGGGCATGGATCAAAATCCAAGGGAGGGTCCCAGAGAGAAGCAAAGACAATCCACAATCCCAGCCACTTTCAGCCTCCCTCTTTGTCGTCTCTCACTCATCATCTTGTCGTATTTCCCCTCCGCGCAGCTTAGCACCCTTGTTTCTGTACGCGTACACGCACCTAACGTGTCCTCTCTCTTATCCTTCACCTACCTCATAAATCCCCTTTCATTCACCCAAAGCTTCACCAATCAATCAGCCAGCCATATACAGTCCTTGTTATAGAAACCCGCTACTAATAGTCATAGAACATCCAGATAGATTATAGTTTATCGATCGATTATAGATAGATAGAGAGATTTCCTGAAAGGATTTTTCTTTCAATTATACACAGAACACGATCCACTCACAGATTCACTTATCTTTCTTACACACACACGCACATATAGAGGGAGGGAGGAGTATTATATATATAGAGAGAGATATTTTAGGGTTTCATGGAAATGGGATCTGTTTAGTTTTATATTTCAGTTTTGTTTCTTTCTTTGATTTAGGTGGGAGGTATACCCAATGGCCAGAAATAGTGAAGCATCCCTGATTGAGTCCAAGAATGAGTCAAAGGTATTATTTTTGTTAATTCTATTTACTGTGCAAAAGCATGTGGATTTTCTTATGTTGATCCATTGTTAGTCAACACACCTTTGTGGTCTATCTCTGCTTGATTATTTTAAACACATTCCGACCAGTGAGCCATGCCTTCTTCTTTTGTGCTCTATTGTCAAATTGGGATAATGTTTGTATCTCTGAATTTTAAAATACTAATTTGGAAACTTTAACAATCAATGACTGAAAATCTGGACCCACCCAACCTACCCTAGTTAAGTAAATAAAATAGAATAAAAAACAAAGTAAAATAAGAATTCCCAAACCAGACCCTAAGGAAACCGTCACAACTATCCACTCTAGTCCCTTGCATCTTCAGTTAATCTGCATATCAGATATGCTTTTTATAAAGTTTTTATTTGTGATTTCTGGCGTATTGCATATATTGCTGAATGGTAATAGTGGGGATAGTTAATTGGCAGAGCATTGTAAATGGATTCCTCATCTGGCAGCATAACACTCTAAATAGAATAAACTTAAGTAAACCCGTTGAACTTGAGTGAACCCAGATTTAGTAAAAACTGGTTGAACTTAGAGTCTTAGATAATCCGTGTGCATATATAAAAATGTTGTTTGGGTAATTATTAGGTCAACCTAGGTAAACGTAGTAAAAGTTTGTAGGGATTGAGGTTAAGATAGAAGAATATTTTGGAATTACTAATAAATGGAACTGAAGCTCTGAAAATCTCCTATTTGATTGTTCTCCATATATGGAATATTAGAGGTTTTTGTAGGTTCTCCTATTAAAGCTAGGTTATCTGAAAACCCAAGTTTGTCATAAAATTGTGAACAGGTAGTGCGAACCCAAATTAAACCTATACGAACTTAGGACTACTTTCAAACAAACGGACCATTAATGTATTTGCAATTGCAAGGTAGGACTTTCAAACATATATACTACAGATTATAATGTTTTTTAAAACTGCAAATGGTGCAATGTGTCTATTTATGCCTTACTTTTCTTTATAGAGAGTAGTTCCACTGAACACGTGGGTTCTCATCTCCAACTTCAAGCTGTCCTACAATCTACTACGCCGCCCTGATGGGACTTTCAACCGCCACCTGGCGGAGTTTCTTGATCGCAAGGTCCCTGCTAATGCAAAGCCAGTTCAAGGTGTTTTCTCATTCGACATGATCATTGACCGTGAAACCGGACTGCTGAGTCGTATATACCGGCCCGCATTTGACGACGGAAGTGAGCCCAGTTTATTCAATCTTGAAACCCCTGTGTGCTCCGATATAGTTCCTGTCATTATTTTCTTCCACGGTGGAAGCTTTGCACACTCCTCTTGCAACAGTGCAATATATGACACTCTCTGTCGTCGTCTTGTGGGCACTTGTAAGGCCATCGTTGTGTCTGTGAACTACCGGCGAGCACCTGAGAATAGATACCCTTCTGCATATGATGATGGATGGACTGCTCTGAAGTGGGTCAGTTCAAGAAAATGGATGGAAAGCAAAAAGGACTCTAAAGTTCATATTTATTTAGCAGGAGATAGCTCTGGGGGCAATATTGCCCATAATGTGGCTCTCAGAGCAGCCGAGTCAGATATACAAGTGTTAGGAAGCATATTGCTTAATCCTATGTTTGGAGGAGAAAAGAGAACTGAGTCGGAAAAGCAGTTAGACGGAAAATATTTTGTCACCCTTCAGGACAGAGATTGGTATTGGAGAGCCTTTCTCCCTGAAGGGGCTGATAGGGACCATCCGGCTTGCAACCCATTTGGTCCCAACCAGGTCCACCTTGAAGGGGTTATTAAGTTCCCGAGAAGCCTTGTGGTTGTGGCTGGTTTGGACCTGGTTCAGGATTGGCAGATGGCTTATGTTGATGGGCTTAAGAAGGCTGGGCAAGAGGTCAAACTTATTTATCTAGAGAAGGCGACGATTGGGTTCTACTTGTTGCCAAATAATGACCACTTTTACACCGTCATGGATGAGATTAGCGACTTTGTGAGTTCCGACAGTTGAAACTTTCCAGCGGTTGAAAATTTTGGGTTTTGAAGATTGTCCCTCTGTATGTCTCTGGTTCGGATTCCGATTCATATAGGTATACTATTCATGCAAGTGGCTAAGCTTATTCTTCTTCAAGAAGGGCCCGGGTTGGCCGGTTGGGTTATTCTGATGTCAAGGCTTCTTGCTGTGCCTAACTGGTACAAGTTTCTTTGGGATGTTGCTTCTTTGTTGTGTTGTATATATATATATATATATATATATAGTGCAATAAGTCACAGAACTACTTTAAGTGCAGTTTAGCTTACATTTCCAACTTCTGGCCTTTAAAGGGGAGGAAGAAGTGTGAATGTGGGGGTGGGGGGCTGATCTAAGAGAATCAGCACCTTTGCTAATATTATATACCTACTGGTCCTAAGTATACATGCTAAACTGCAATTCATGGATGGGAAACATCCATAAATTATTGAATTTGTAATCCATATATATTATATATAAGTAGAATTGTAATGTGTTATGCTTACTTAACCTACCATTTGTGTATTTACTTGATTGCTTGTAGGATGCAAGTAAAGAGCACAAATGGTACCATAATTAGTGGCATTAATGCAATTTTGTACCCCAATTAATACACCCTAATTGTTCAATTTGATTTCTTTGTTGGTTGTACCATTCGATTTTCTGGCAATTATTAGATTTGGCTGTTTGAATTCAACTTACATTATCAAAAAATGTCCCCTCGTTTATTATTGTAAAATAGGGCAGGGCTATCAAACTAAGACCAGATGAACGGTCCTAATTACTTTGAAAGTAATTAAAATATTCTGTATAATTAGTACTCCCTCCGTCCCGCTAACAATGGGACAAGAGGGAGTAGCACGTAAATCAATAAAAAGTGGTTTATGTGGTTGATATTGAATTGATAAAGTAAGAATAAAGTAAGAATGATTTAGAGCCACACAGACTTTGCCAAATTTGGTGTGAGATAATCTTAGTGGAATGGATCGATAAGGTAAAACGGGACAATCATAACGGGACAGAGGTAGTAACATATTTTAATTGCACTCGACTTATGATGGTAATCTTATGATGTCATGGATTAATAAATTGCAATTTTTCGGGAATGCATCCGAAACTTGGGCTGATAAAGAGAATAGTTTGAAAATTGTAAAATAGGACTGTGATGTTTTTATTCCCAAAATAAGATTAATTATTTCCATGTTTTGGTAGTACCAGACTTCAAACATGATAATTTTTTCTAAACATAGCAATAATTAATCCTATTTTGGGAATAAAAAACATGACAGTCCTTTTTTAAAATTTTCAAACTGTTTTATCCTATTTTGGGAACTTTCTCGCTGATAAATCAGAAATTTAAATGATATCATCATAAGAAATAATTAAATGAGGATTTCTTGAAAATCTTTTTTGGGTAAACTAATTTTATCTAGTCTAGTTTTTGATCTAAGTTTCTTTCCTGGGGATGTCTATGTTCTTGTAATTATGTGTGTGTGTAGTGCATTGTCACAAAATTGTTATAAATGCAATTTAGTATACATTTCCATCTTCTTAAGTGTGTTAGGCTGTTTTCAATCCTAACAATGCCAGATTTAAACAGATCAGATCAGACCTGAATCTCTTTTTATATTATCTTTTTATCATAGCTTATCTTTTTTATCTTTATTTTCTTTCTTTTCCTTTTGATGGTGATATCATGTTAGCCGACCCCAATATCTTTTGGGACTAAGACTGGGATGTTGTTGTTAAAATACCATACGTTTACCAGACCAGACAATAAATTTCAATCCAAGTACAACCATCCTTAGTGTGTGTATCGGAGCTGTGTTTAATTCGTGAATGCCTAAATGATATTTACACATTGCTAATACGAAGTATTAAACATTGCTGATACGAAGTATTTAACATTGCTAGCGAACTAGACTTGCTATGTTTAATTCATGAATGCCAAATTTTGAGATATTTGAATTATTGCTCTCATATTCTTAAGATAAAAATTATAAAAATATTACACAATCACATGTAATTTTGGTTTTAATGAAATCTGAATTAGTCCCTTATTCAAAAATTGAGATATTTGAATTATTACTCTCATATTCTTAAGATAAAAATTATACAAATATTATACAATCACATTGTTTTTGGTTTTAATATAATCTCAATTAGTCCCTTCTACAACCCCGGCCACCCAATAAAAGAGTTGCACCACGTTACATACTTACAAAAAAAGGATGACACCCCATCCCTGAGACCCCCCAACCCTGACTGGACGATACGTTGGGAGGATGTAATTGGACTATAATCTCATTCTGACAGATAGAGAGTGAGACTCTGTTCCCGGTACTTACAGAGGTCCTATGCATTTTTAGCATAGTAACCCTCATCGTAGTTACCGGGATTCAAACCCGGGACCTAATCCTTGTGGCACTGACTCCCTTGGTACCAGTTGAGCTACGCCCACCCGTACTTTACATACTTACATACATGAGATGATGAGATGCTAGAGTTCTGCGGCCACTTACTAGCCAAGTGTAACAGTTTAGGACATAACCAATTCCAGAATAAATACATTGAAGACTTGAATTGTGGTAGGGCAGTTCATAAAGAAGTAGGGTATTTTTTGAGATAAGTTTTAATATGTATCTACTGAAAGATTTGTAAATCAATTTTGTACAATTTTTTTGAAAAAGATTCACTATTTTTTTGTGTGGACGAAATAAAGCAAAATGACTCACTAAAGTGACTACGCTTATTTGTTATGAAGCACGAGTCAGTCCATGTAATTTTCTACGTGATTTTCATCATGGGTCATCCGAAAGCAGTTTCTTTGTGCTTTAGTACACGGATAAGGCTTCGTACATCTGATCCTCATAGATGATTAAAAAAATGTTTTTTATTATTCTAACTTCGTCAGGCTTATCATGCCTTCCAAAAAGTCGTCCTAAATCTTTGACAAATGAAAATTCGAGTCACTCAAAGTCTCGAACCATCCACTAGATTCCCATCGGGATCCGTACACCATAACCCACACATGAAAAATCGCTCTTAATTGGTTGGTTGCGCATGTCATCAAGTTCCTAGTGTTGTTAGGGGTGGATTCGGGCCGGGTCCGGGTCGGGTCTAGGCCCGGGCGGGCCGGCGGTTCTAAATAGGTGGACCCGGTACCGGCCCGGGTAGCCACCAGGTCCAGGCCGGGCCGGCCGGGCCTCATTTTTACCAACCCGAGCCCGCCCCGCTCAGACTAAATAACCGGGCCTTCGACCGGTTTTGGGCCCGAAGAACCGGGCCGGTCCGGTCCCGCACAGTAGCGGGCCGGGCCGGTTCCCGGGCCGGGTGGTCCGAACCGAGTCCAGGACTAAGTATAGTTCATGAGAGAATCGACACCCTGATCAAGCACCATTAGATTTTCAGTAATAAGCTAACTCACACACTAAAATTGACTAAATCGATTGAAATTGATGAAATTATGAATGAATTCGTTGAATCTGTTGAACTATAGAAAGATTTTATATTTAAAATATACTTTATTAATAAAATAATGAAAAATAACTTAAATGATCTTCCGTAGTAATTTCAACCAATTCAGCTAGAAAAATAACATCAGCCTAACTTATTTGGATTATAAAATTCAGCACGCGCGATTGAAAAGTATGTATTTTATAAATAAAAAATTGACTGATAAAATTGATAAATCGGAAATATGAAATAATAATACCTGACAAGCACATAAGTATTTAAAATTTTAACGTTTCTGTTCTAACAAAAGAACAGATTTTGAGTCGTATTTAATTCCCTCAAAATCTGTTTACATGGAATTCAAATTTCACAGCCACAATTTTTTCATATCAGCCAAACGACCAATTAAGGTAAAGCATTTAAATCATAAAGGCACGGCATCACATTAAATTGACATATACACGTCATTAGACTGCACTTTCCTTGAAAAGTGAGTAATGTAAGCCTGCAAGGCAAAGCATTAACTCATCTCGAATGAGTTAGGTAGATGGTTAGTTTTTATTACAGCATCATGCTAAACCACTACTGGCTCCCCCACTCCCACCCACTTCAATTGTCTCATTTTTCCATTTTCGTTTCATCTCATCAATTTTGACTCATATCATATTTGGCAAAATTTGGGTAACTCTAATTCATTTTTACTTTATTCGCACTTCATCAACTCATTATCTACAACATAACTCTACTTTTCGTAAAAACACTCCTTTGTCCCAATAATAGGGGGACGGAGACAGTATTAATTAATCCGTATTTATGAATTTTTTCATTCTTTTCTGAAGGTTCATACAAGAAAAATAAGAAACATAGTTCAATTTGTGCTAAAAAATTTATGGATGTTTTAGTTTATTTGATGAATGTACTTACTACTCTCTGTGTTCTGTAATAACGCTCTTTTGTTCCTTTTGAAATGTTTTTATTACTTGTAGTTCTTTCCCCTTTTAGTAATTTTTTTATCAAAATACTTTTCTACCCTCATTTTTATTATCATTACCTTTTTTTGGCTTTTTACAAACTACTTTCTTTTTCCTACATTGTCATTGTTTTTCTCTTCTCAATATACTCATTTTCCAATTTTCCTACTTTTTCATTTACCCTACACCATCTATATTACCCATATCTTTATATAATATAAAGTAACAGTTTTGACACAACAATTGGAGGGAAAAATCCCGCCCAAAATAAGGGCAAAATAGGAAATTAGTGAAAAAAACAAATTTGGTAATTAATTGTACTAAGGTGCATCGTTGAAAGAATAAGAATGAAAATATGGTAAGATGAAGCATTTATTGCCCATCCTTATGAAAGTATAGGAAGAAGGAGCATTTTTAGACAATAATATTCTGTATGCATGTAATCATTAACACTCATATATACTATGTATTTCATAAATTATTTTTGGAAAGAAACAAAACTAATTTGAGCGTTATATACTAGTACATGTTTGTCGTATAACTCATATGTGTATGGCTGTAAAAAAACCAATTTGAGCGTTATATGTTATATAACTAATGCTCATTTCCGTATATGTTACGGATCAAATAAAAACCGATCTTAATGTAAAAACCGAAAATCGTTCACTAATTCCCCAATGTGATGTACTTTAAGGGTGATTTATTACAGTTTTTGAACTTCGATTGAACCATGCTAAATAAAAAAATGTCGTGACATTTTCGTAAATAAGTCGAAGTTTTCTGACAATTTGAAAAAGTGCAACATAGGAATCCAATAATGCATCACTTTGTGGAAGAAGTGATTGCAATTTTCACGGGAGGAATGCTTTTTATTTGATCTGTACCCATTTTTTTAACCCGGAAGGCAAACCACCAAACTAGAAAATATATTAAATAGATGCATCAACGTGCAAAACCGAAAGTTACATAAAGCTGAAAGAATTGAAAGAATGAAAATATGGTAAGACAGACATGTATTGTGCTCATTTTTATTTTTATTATTAAATAATTCAACGCGTAAAACCAAAAGTTACATGCATGTTAGATCAAAAGATTAGTTGATAAGAGTGATATATAAGCCTAAAAACACATATTCAAACGATATTCAAAGTTGGTGAAAATATGGTGTTTACATTAAAGATGTAAATAAACGTAACAACCTGTTCAATATTGTAGTATATATTACTTAATAACTATACTAAATAACTCCATATATAATTAGTCAGAATTGCTTCAATTTCAAAATTTTCACTATTATAAGTAGCGAAAATCTTGAAACAGAAGTAAAAACGATTTGGAATGTAAAAATATACAAAACTGTCATGTTTCCCCCCCTAAGAATGAGTAATAACTGTCAAGTTTAAGCAATAGTATCATATTTAGAGACATTAGATGACACTAAATTGGCTGAATTAGCTGAATCTGCTGAAATTGTTGAAGTTTTGACCAAAACAGGTGATTGGGTTGAATTTGTTGAATTATGGAAAAATTATATTTAATTTTTTTCACTGATAAAATGAAGAAAAAGTTATGTGGAAATGACTAAAATCATCTTCTATAGTAATTTCAATCTATTGAGGCAGAAAATAGGTCTAACATTACTTATTTTGATTACTGCACAATTCACGTACAGACTCAAAAGTTATGTGTTTGGTGAAAAAGTAGTTGATAGGATTGATAAGCCAAAAATGTGAGTCACTAAGAGCATCCACAATGCAACCTGTTTTAGTCTAATTAATTTATGCCAAATGTCAAATTATTAAAAGGGTTTCTAGTCCACATAATAAATAGTGGAGTGATTAGACATTAACATATGAAAGAGGCCTACAATGCATACTCTCTCGACCAAATTAATTGTCTACCTGGAATTACGTATATTAAAATAATACTAAATATAATATACTCCGTATTTGTTTATCTGAACAACTCCGCCGCTCTGAGCAAAATAGAGGAGAAAGAGAATCTGATGAGACGGTCATGGCTTTCTACAGAAAACCCTTGTTGGAGGGAAACACAGTGGCAGTGATTCCCCATCCCCCATAGCAGCAAGCCAGCAACATATTCTCGCCTCTTGTGTCTAGATGGGGTTCAGAAGCAGAGTGGTGGAGGAGGTGAGAAATTGCAGAAGAAAAAGAAGAAAGCATTGAGGACATATATACTCCGTATATGTTTGTAACGAAGTGGGGGTAAAGAGATATGGGGAAAGAGATATACTCCATATATGTTGAGGACATATATGTTTGTAACGAAGTGGGGGTAAAGAGATATGGGGAAAAAATAATGGGAGATTTGAAGGTTTGGAGAAGAAGTGGAACAAAGTAAAGAGCAGGAGACGTGCGTGAGAAATAAGATAGATGCTCGCTTATTTTTATCCGATTCAGCAAGTCTATCGACCTTTCTATACTCAAACATCCTCTTTCACAGTAGGGGTGTAATCGAGCCGATCCGAGCCCGAGCATGCATAAGCTCGAGATCGAGCACATTAATTTTTTTCAAGCTCGAGTTCGGCTGGAGATCGACGAGCTCAAAATACCTAAGCTCAAATTTGGCTCGTGTAATTTATCGAAGCTCGAGAGCTCGGCTCGAGTTCGACAACAAATCAACCAAACAACCCAAAAAAAATTCAATTAGAAATTATAATTCATTAAATTTATACTTTGTCTTCTTCTCTGAGTGTCTTTTCTAAATTTACCCTCCCATCCACCCACACGGAGTATGTGTAGGCTGCTTGACTAAGCAGGAGATTTGCTTTATTTATAATAATAGAGGAGGGGGCTTCATCTAGCCATTTCGGTGTGGGAATACAGAAGCAACAAAAAAGAAAAGAAAATAAACAAAAGGGAAAACGGTGTGCCCTATAGGAACTCAACTTAGTTTCATGTTCAAAAGTAGATATCTTAGCTTCATGTCCTAGTTAATAATTTCCCTATGTCTTTTCAAATTCTTATAATTCACACACAAATATATGTACACACACACACACACCAAAGCTTGCGAGCCGGCTCGCGAGCTTCGGGCCTAAAATAAAAGAGCTTGAATTGTGCTCGTTAAGTATTCGAGCCGAGCCGAATTCAAGCCGAGCTTGTTTGTGACGAACTCGAGTCGAGCTTTGACCGAGCGATCCTCGAGCGGCTCGCGAGCCGCTTGGCTCATTTACACCCCTATTTCACAGTGTCTAATTTTTTCATCGCCATGTCAACAAAGACTACACCCGTTGGAAGACCAAAAAATTAGTGAATGTCTAATTTAATGATGTGGCACACTTTAGCTAGACTAGACATCTATGCAATGGAGATGCTCTAAACGAGCTCTTAAAATCTAATAACACCAAAACATGGCAGAGTTCCACTTATTTAGGGAACAATTTTTTTTAAATTCACAAATCTTTTTATTCCTATTTAGCACAATTTATTTTATAAGTATTGAAATACATCAAATCATATGAGTAACCAACAACATTTAGAGCCCGTTTGGTAGCACGAAAATCGGCTGATTTGATTGATTGTGCTGAAATTTATGAAGTTCTGGCTGAAGTAGCTGCATTGGCTGATTCTGCTGATTTAAGAAATAAATAATTTAAAAATATAGTTTATTAATAAAATAAAGAAAAAATTATATGTAAAATAACTAAAATGGTCATCTACAGTAACTTCAACCAATACAACCAAAAAATTAACTCCAACCTTACTTTTTCTGCTTATAACACAATTCAGTGCGCGAAAACAAAAATTACATGTTTGGTGAAAAAGTTGGTTGATAAGCCTGATAAACCGAAAAACTGTGTTGCCAAACGACCTCTTATACATCTTCCATCCACATGGTACGTATAAAAATTATACTCCGTACATAACATACTAGGTTATTCCCTTGATTTATATCTTTTCTTCACTTTATCTCCACTTATGCATGTTGTATTTTTTCCGTCTTCATGCATTTTGTTTTTTTTTGCTTTGAGACCATGTATAAAACAGTCTCTTCAAGATTTGAAATAATCAATATACCTCCCAAAAGTTTGAAAGCCTTATCTGCCAATTTAAGAGCTTATTTTTTATTTCGCAAGCTGAATTGTATACTATTCTGTAATAAAAAAAAGTAAGATTAAAATTACATTTGTGACTGCACTGGCTGAAGCTGTTGTAGAGGAACATTTTAACTATTTTTCATATAATTTTTCTTTTATTTTATTAATAAAAGATATTTTAAACACATGGTGGGGGGCGCCGGGGAACACCTCCCTATTTTATTCAATAAATGTTTGAAAATACAACAGAAGTAAAGCATACGGAAAAATAAATTACATTAGCATTTGAAATTATTAAAGGGAATTCCAATTAATGCTGAGATGGATCTATTGAATTGTTATGAAACTTGATAGCCTTATGCAGATAGGGATGCAATGTTCTGGCATCCGGGTGATAGTATTTAAAGCGCTTGAGAGACGCTACCAGTTTATGAGAGGAGTCAAACCTTTCATCCACCGGGTAAACATAGTAGTTCGTCTCATTTTGTGGTTTTTTGGAGTGGCTTCTGGTGATCATCGGATATGAGCTATATCCCACGTGGTAGAATAGTTGTTCATCTTCTGGCTTAAAAATGTTCATGTTTTTAATTTTTCTTCTTTTAATCTCAGTAAAGCGTTCTTGGTGTTCCTCTTCGACTTGAATAGTAGCTTTAAGACATCACATTTTCATAAATCAACAGAATCAGCCAATCTAGCCATTTCAGCCAGAACTTTATAAATTTCAACAGAATCATCCGATTCAGCTAATTTCGGTGTTACTAAACAGGCTCAAAAGTATTCAACCAAACTTTTGGAATATGCTCTTAGTTGTTTTTGAAAACAAACTCATGTCATTAAATAATCTCATAGTTTGCCACATTACTTACAACACAATCAAGAATATGCTCTTATATTTTGTAACTTCATTTTATTCAAGATTCTACAAATTAATTCAATTGAAATAATTAAACTTTGGGAATATTAATATTAATCAATTGTTTTAATTATTTTTTAGAACATACCAATAGTTCCAAAAATACAAAGTATAGGTTTTAACATTCTTAAATTGTCCACATTTTCTATTCATAATTCTTCAAATGTTAACAAATTTTTAAAGTTAAACATGCTATTACAGGTCAAAAATCGGTTAATAAATGATTGATCATTTTTTCCATAAAAGTTCACTTCTATGATACAGAGTATTTTTTAGTACAAGGGCTTAAGTGATAAATTTGAAATAATAAAAGAATTTATTTGACTCATTGCCCTCTTTTATTTAGAAAATTGCTCATTACATTAATACATTCCATTATACTCCATAATGGAATGTAATTTTGAACAAGTTATTATTCCACTCTAGATGCACCCCTTGCATCGCACGGGTAGTTCGTCTAGTGTTCTTTAAAACCGTAAAACCCTTGAGAGGATTGTATAATAACATCATACTTTTTTGTGTTATGCTCTAACCTATTTATAGCATCTATTCAATAGCAAAGTCAATTTTTGATCGAGATGAGATTCAAACAGTGGCCTTCACTTTGGAATGAAACAGGTGCTTGTCATCTACATGACTACATTACACCTAACCCTTACATGCATGAAACATACTCTATATACATGAATAATATAGAGACAAGAAGCTGGAGAATTGATCTGATAGATGATATGAGAATACAGGCAAGCAAGTCGAAGAACATGTATAGTCGACAGATTATTAGCGTGTTTCCCGTAAGAAGAGTTACCAGCCATCATCACTTATGTTTTCTTCTATAATGTCAATGCAAGAGCCTACTGATCTTCCTTCTGACATTACCTCTGCGAGCTTTGCTAGAGCATTGTCATGTCGGCGCAAAATGAGTATGGTATTCAGTACAGCCCATCTCACCTGAGAATCAGTTTTTTTCTGTGTAAACCCCAGGCCGCGAAGTAGCATGTCTAACTGTCATGTCACGTGAGGATTTTTTATTAGCCATTCACACCCCTACACAAAATGACCCAAATTTTCCTAGCAAACGAATCAAGCAAATACTGCTTCACACCGGACACTTGGCCCTTGTTAAGGAAATACGAGGAACAGTGTAAACCTGGTTAATATCTGCAAGTCCTCCCTCAGCACATCCAAAAAGAAGATACTCTGTTGCTACACCTGCTAGAGCAATGCAAGAAAACCTGTTCAGCATCTGCCAAAAAAATGCACATTCAAGATCTTTCTGATCAGATAAAATACATGGTCATGATCGATGCATAATAATGCATAGATATCAAAAGCAAGAGCCTTACTGTAGCTGACACTTGTCCTTTGTTGACCTGCAAAGGAAAACATAGGTGTTCATTAGAATAAACTTATGTAAGGAAAAGTGTTGTTCAGACTACCTTTCACATATGGATGTTTTCTTTCCCTTACCACTAAAAAACAAGAAATCGTCAAATTTTCAAGAATTTGCAAAATTCTTGCATCCTTTTTAAACTTCAATATTTTCCTATAGCTAGGGGTTTTCAATGAAACAACTTCTCTACTATTAGGGGCAGAGGTAAGGTATATGTACATTTCACCCTCCACAGACCTTACTTTGGAGTGGGACATTTTGGGTAGGGGTGCACACCATGCTTGTCACGGCGCCAGCCGACCGCCTTATCGCCTAGGCGATAAGGCGCCTGCCTAGGCGACAATTAGGTGACTAGTCGCACATTCTATATTATATTTTATTATATATATAGTTATATATATATATATATAATATAATACATTACTAATTAAATTGTATTTCTTTATATATTACTAAATATTACAAAAAGTAAAGTACGTATTTAATTATTTATATTTTTCATATATTTGTATAATTAACAAACAGTTAAACTACGTAAACTCAGTAAAGCATAAAATATATTTGGGCATAATTACGCATACCATGTTTACAAAATACTCTGTATATACGTATTTATATAAATATACAACTTAATTAATTAAAATATTACTCCACTAGACCAGAAAAAAAATAGAGCGTACTGATCGTCTCCTCAACGCAAATATGCTTACGCGAGGGACTGAGGGAGGGCGAGACGCGCAAGCTCTCCTGCTTCCGGGAGTTGCTGCGGTGCGTATGATTCCTCCGACTTGTCTGGCTAGTCTCTACGACTTGAGTTCGAAGATGGAAACAAATAGCCCGTAAGATTATCAGATACCTTTGGGCTTTGTTTTCAATTAAAAGGCTAAATCTATTTTGTTGGCAAAAAAGGCGACGACTTGTCGCAAAATCGCGCCTAGGCGACGCCTGGAGGATGCCTATCGCGACTATTCTTCTTCTGGCGAGGTGAATGAAGACGGCGATAACTCCCTAGCGCCAGGACGCCTAGTCGGCGACTAGGCGACACCGTAACAAGTATGGTGCACACTGGTTCAACACCGGACTGGGACGAACCAAAACGGAAGCAGATTTGTAAAATAATACTAGTAGTAGCCAAACAAGAAAGGAATTATTCCGGTTTTCAACAAGAACCGAACCGGCTTAATCGCTTTATAACCGGACAACAACAACAACAACATCCAAGCCTTAATCCCAAAAGAATTTGGGGTCGGCTAACATGAATCGATCTATGATATCGATGCCAAAAAGAGAAGACAGACAAGAAAAGGAAAAAAAAGTAAGATAAAATGAATAAAATAAAGATACATAAATATAAGATAACAATAACACAAGAATATAACCAAGATAAAAGAAAAATAAATAAAAGAGCATAAAAAAGTGAGAAGATACAAATAACATAAGAATATAAAAAGATAAGGAAGATAAACGATAAAAGAAACAAGAGAGGAAAGGTAGACAAGACATCAATTGTCCACATGGATGTGCGCCCTCCACTTTGCTCTCTCCAAAGCCATACTCTCATCCAACCCAAGAAGACGCATATCAGTTCTGATTACTCTAATCCAAGTCTGTTTGGGTCTTCCCCTCCCTCTCTTGTCTGACTCATCTCCCCACCCCTCAATTTTGTCTAACAGGTGTATCACTCCGTCTTCTATGCACATGCCCAAACCACCGAAAACGAGACTCCTTCATCTTATCTTCTATAGGTGCTACTCCCACCTTTTATCTGATTAACTCATTCCTCGGGCGGTCTTTTCTGGTATGTCCACACATCCAACGCAACATACGCATCTCTGTCACACTCATCTTTTGAATGTGGCATTGGTTCACCGCCCAACACTCTACGCCATACATTAATGCCGGCCTAATTGGTGCATGATAAAATTTACCTTTCAGTTTAGTCGGCATACCTCGATCGCATAGAAATCCTGAAGCACTTTTCCATTTCATCCACCCAGCTCTAATTCTATGACATACATCTCCATCTAATTCACCATCTTCTGAATTATGGATCCCAAGTAACGAAACATATCACACACCGGTATCTCCTTACCATTAAGAGTAATCCCACTGTTGCTACTGCTTCTACCTGACTACCTCCACCGAACTTGCACTCCATATAATCAATCTTGCTTTGGCTCAGTTTGAAACCCTTGCTCTCCAATGTTTGTCGCCATACTTTCAACTTTGCTTTAACACCGGATTGTGTCTCATCAATCAATACAATATCGTCGGCAAACATCATGCACCACGGTATATCTTCTTGAGTTGACTTCGTAAGTTCATCCATGACTAAAGCAAATAAGAAAGGACTCGGAGCAAATCCTTGGTGCACTCCAATAGTAATAGAAAACTCTGCGGTCCTCCCTACACTAGTGCGGACACTTGTAGTACAAGCATCATACATATCCATGATGATGCTGATATACTTACGTGATATGACTTTTCTAGTTAAGGCCCAACACAGAACTTCTCGAGGTACCCTATCATATGCCTTTTCTAAGTCAATGAACACCAAATGCAGATCCGTTTTAGTGTCTCTATACTTCTCCACAACTTGTCTAAGAAGGTGAATGACCTCAGTTGTTGAGCGTCCAGGCATAAAACCAAATTGATTCTCCGAAATTTTCACTTTTACGTAGTCTTTGCTCAACCACTCGCTCCCAAAGTTTCATGGTGTGACTCATAAGCTTAATCCCTCGATAGTTAGCACATTCTTGTACATCACCCTTATTTTTAAATAAGGGAATGAGAGTACTCTTCCGCCAACTCACTGGCATTTTGTTGTTTCTCCAAATCATGTTGAAGAAACGTGTTAGCCACTTGATGTCTTTCTCTCACAAACTTCTCCAAGCCTCGATCGGTATGACATCTGGGCCCACTGCTTTCTTCCGGCCCATTTTTCTCATAGCCTCTTTAACTTCTGTTGTTTGAATCCTTCTCACGAAGTCCCTATTTACCATACACTCTGTCTGTTATAGTAAGATCATCAATACCTTGGACTTTATTCCGGTTGAACAAGGTATCAAAGTATGACTTCCACCTCTCTTTTATTTCTTCGTCGTCCATTAGTACCCTTTGATCGACATCCTTCACACACTTAACTTTTCCGATATCTTGAGTCCTACGGTCACGAAGGCGAGCAAGTCTGTAGATATCTTTTTCTCCTTCCTTAGAATCCAACTTTACATACAATTCTTTCTTCACTTTTCCTTTGGCTTCCTTCACAGCTTTCTTTGCTCTTCTTCTAGCCTCTTTGTACTCCTCTATGTTCTCGTCGCTCCAACTTTTGCCCAATTTCTTATAGCATTCTCTTTTGGCCCTTATTGCTTGTTTCACCTCATCATTCCACCAAGATGTGTCCTTTTTTGGTGGCAGACATCCTTTAGATTCTCCGAGTATCTCTTTCGCCACTTTGTTAATGGTGGACTCCATTGATAACCACACATCATCCACGTGTGCGTCACTATCACTAGACCAAACATCTTCCTCCAACATTTTGTGTGCAAAACTTTGTTGGAGATTCCCCTCAAGCCTCCACCATTTTATCTTTGGCTCCCCTTGTACCTTAACTCGTCCACTCTTTTTAACTCAAAAATCAAGCACAAGACCACTCAACAAGATTTTTTTAACTCTTGTTGAGTGACAGCACTCTCACCTGGGATAACCTTACAATCAGTGTAGCTAGTTCTCCAAGTCGTCCGTACTAACCGGACCAGACAGAAAAAATGGTTAATTTTTTTATTATTATCATTATTATCATTTTTATCATTAGTATTATATAGCAAAGACTGGAACAATTTGAATACATGATAATATATGTTTGCTATTTCTATTTTCAAGCCAATAAAAATGAAGGGATAAACTATAATATTATAGCAGTAATACTCCGTAGTATACTACTACTACTGTCAACTAGTACTATTACTACAACTATTATTATCAGTGTTTTTATTATTTTAATAAAATGAAAATATATTAATACTCCATATTAATTCATATATTTAAAAATATTACAAAACCGTTTTTTGGTTCAAAGACTTCAAACCGAAATAATTCGGGTTTTAACTGGAACCAGATCCGAAACTGGTTTTAAAATTTAATAGCCGAAAACAGGACCAAATAGCTCGGTTCCAGTTTTTCTGTCTGGTCTGGTTTTCCGGTTTGTGCACGCCCCTAATTTTGAGTATGTGGGTTGGGTAAATATTTTCTGATAATGAATGCACAAAGTTACAAACAAATACTGACATAAGGCAAGCATACAACATAACCTGAAAATGGACAAAGCGAATTGAAAATTCCTAATCAGCTTACAAGATACACCACAGGGAGATCAAGATTTAACCTAAAAAATTAATGATCGTTCTTGGATGGAAAGGTGGAAGGCTTCTTCAAACTAACTGCATTTAAATGCCTAGAATATCCTGGAAAAATGTGAAAAAACATGCAAGCCAACCAACCTCCTCGATGAACTCAAAGTCCACAAATGCGGTCCCAGCTTGAACATTCAGTGATCCTTCCTTACTGAAAGCTTCCAAACTTGTCAGTGTATAACCCTTAGGAAGGACTCCTAGCAAATAGGCGATCAAGAAATGCCCTGCTTCATGCTGTATCATAGGATTGACTAGTGACGTTAAAACCATAAAAAAGAGAATCTTTTTAGGAAATAAGAGCAAGTAAGAGACACTGTATTATTCTGTGTTATGACTTATGAGATGTATTGCGCTTTTAAATAGGATCATCATCATCATTACCCCAATGCCGCAAAGGCTCCCACCTACGGTAGGGTAAGGGGCTTTTAAATAGGATCATATATGGACAAAATGGTCTGGTATTGATGAGAAACTAATGATAACGTAGAAAAGTGAATAATATATTTTACTACCTCCGTCCCAATTTACTTAGCCAAACTTGACTTTTCAAGTCAACGGCGTCTAACTTTGACCAATTATTTTAACTAATATATTTATGCAAAATTTAATAATTTTATACTTTTATGATAGTGTTTTTAACAAAGAACATTTTCATATCATTTTCATATTATCAATACTTTCTCTATATAAACATATAATCGGTCAAAGTTAGACGCCGTTGACTTGAAAAGTCAAGTTTGGCTAAGTAAATTGGGACGGAGGGAGTATGAATTATTTTATAAAACCACATGAACTTTCTTGAGAAGATAGTTCTTAAAAAAGGTTATGATCCTTTCCCTTGAATTGCATTTATTTAGGCCACAGTGCAGACCACCCAAAAGTATTGTTGTATCAAGAAAACTATCAAGTCCAGAGTGTGAGTACAAAAAATGATTCTACTCTTCTGTTTATACATAGGAATCACAAAAGAAAAAAATGATTCTCCATAAACAAACTGCATATCTTATTTTCTTTTAACATGTTGATAAGAGAGTGCTAACCTGAGTAACCCTGTTATGGTATTTTTGGCTGAGGGTGTGACCAATAGTGTCGAGAACCAATGCACTGAGCCCTCCATTAAAGGAGACCTATGCAGAACACATGACAAAGACTAGAGTATGGCAAAGCCTGGAAAGACATGCTTGGGACTACATCAACAGATGCATGTTCCAAATAAAACATCAAAGTGATCAACAAATATATACACTTTGGACTACAATAAAGTTTTTTTTACTGCGATACTAACTTTGGGGATATATTTTTTGTATTGGCAATTCATAAAGTCTGAATATTTATTGTTTTTCTTTAAAACGAGCAGCAGAAACCATGGAAATGAATGATAAGACCGAATTATACCCAATGAGCTTCAGACCAACTTGAGCAAATTTTAAGTGGCATCAACAGAATGATATTTCTTTTTCTAAATGCAGCAAGCATAACACATTATCCCCAGAAGTCTTTAAAAAAGAAAGCATAGCTCAACATCTTACCGAATCAAATGTCCATAAAAACATCAGTCCCAAAGAGATGAAGAGAATCTGTTGAGGATTTAAGTGGAGTATATTCCAGGCTGCAATCCAGCCAGATATAGCTGCTGCCTGCAAGATTCTTTCAATAGAGCCCAGTGTGGAGTCAACTGGTGATAAAAGAGACACGGTTTCTATTCCATTCAATTTCAATTCGTCCAAGGAATACAGTCGTTGGGGTATCTGCAGAGAAGTACTTAGTCACATATGAGCATTTAAATATTCAATTGGACTCCAAATATCCAACCATAATTAAAATAAAATATAGGTTCACTCAAGCTCATGAATCCGCAACCCAAAAAGAACAAGGCCTTAGAATCAATTACAACACTTTTGAAATTGTAAGATGCAGATATATAGGGGGTGTTTGGAACTAATTCTGATTCTGCATATTTTTTAAAGCAGAAGCAGAATCAGAATCAGTTTTCAGAAGCTAGTCATCCCCAGCTTCTAAAAAAACTGATTCTAGGAGTTAATTAGAGTACAAGAATCACTTCTGAACTTTTAACCAAACACTACACTTCTTCGTTAGACCGAAGATGTTTTAAGAAGAGAGATTTACCTAAATAGGACTAAAACTTATGAAAAAACCCATCGTAGGACTATCACTTTTCTGTTTAACGGCATAGGACTAAAATATAGATGGAATACCAAAACTGCCCTGCAAAGCCACTGTTCTTCCGTTCATGACTTGTGAAGGTTGCGCTGAAGGATGTCTCTGCATTGCCTCTGCAACTTTCCCTGATAAGCTTTTTCTTCTTTTTCTTTTTCTTCTTCTTCATCATTTTCTTCTTCCTTTTCTTCTTTAAAGCTTCTATGTTTTCTTTCTTCCACTTTTACTTTTCTTCTCTTTTGGATATTCATTCTTTATAAATTCCATCTAATTCACTTTAAATCGTTCATACTATTTTTCTCACTAATTGGACCTGAAAATGGCATAATTGCTATGTTATTGAACACTCATTTGGAAAAAATGTCACTTTTTTGACATTACATTTACCAAGATGACAGTTTTTATTTGACATTTATAAAGAGTAAAAATGACACCAACTTGACATTCTCCACGACTGCCATATTTTTATATATGGAAATGTCATCTCCATGACATTTTGGGAACAAAGGTGACATTTTTTTACAAAACAGAGTAAGAAGAAGAAGAAATCATATGAGGAAGAGGAATCTGGAAGATAATGTTCGAATGTGAAGAGGAAGAGAGAAAAGGAAAGAGAGGCAGAGAACAGAAGGGGAGTAGTAGAACATCCTAAAGTCCTGGACTGGACATCGTAGAGAAAGATCAATTGTAGAGGTGCAGGAGAAGATGATCGTTACTGGAATTGCAGGGGAGAGGATTGATTTTAGGTTGCAGGATAAGAGGATTGATGTTGGAGTTGCAGGAGAAGAGCATGGCGCAGAAGAAGATCGACGCTGGATGCAGAGACAAGGATACGCACAAGGACATTTTAGACTTTGCAGAAAACGTAAAAACTGATAATAGGAGCGGATGACTCCTATATTGAAGATAAAACATATTAAGTCCTAATTTAGATTTTTATCTATGTTTTAGTCCTATTTAGAATAATTACTTTTTTAAGAATCAAATCTAAACACCATGTAATTAACGTTTTGGGCGCATTCTCGGACAAACGAACCTGCCGTCCGGCGCCGAAACACCTAAGGCCGCCAGGTTTTCCTTGCAATTCTTTGACGAGCGACAGTGCAGCTCTCTCATCTCCTCTGCTCAGCTCCTTGTCCACTTCTTTCAGTACTCGCCGCCTTAACGTGACGCCCGGTTCCGATGAGCAGAAAATTCTTGAATTGCACAATCCGAACTGAGGATGTGAAAGTGATCCTCCATAACGAGCCGCAATCATTATCCAAATTCAGAATTACTTCAAGAATACAGGATCAAAACAAAAACAGATAAATGTTTGACAACTATTGCCAGCAAATCTGGTATAAATTTAGTGTGCAACCGTCAATCGGTCATTAGTTAAGTTGAACAGCAGAACCACTCCTACTATACACGGAGCACACCAAATTTAAAAGGATAAACGAAAAAGGGAAATCTATATACAAAAGGAGGTAAGGAGGTGGATTTCAGCCAAATTTCCCGCCTAAACTAACAGGTCAGCTGTGGGTCGAGTCTGGGTCGGGTCAGCACTAACGGGTCTGCCAACTCCACTGATGTAAAAGTGTAAAAGTACAGCTCAATAAATGCTTACCCATATGAAATCCAGCGGATAAGAAGGCAATAAATGAGAATCTTCATTGAAGATTTTCTCTTAAAATCTACGATTCCCGTGATTCGAAGTATATGTAAAAAGTACATATCATTTAATCAAGACTTTAAAATTGTAGAGTACATGCAGTAAACTTTGTCAGACTTCTTTATGCATTGTCAATTCGGCATTTAATTGATAGCTTGCTCTCTCATTGCCCATGTCCCTCCAAAGAATGGTGTATTAAACACAATATTTTTTTATGAATATAACCACCGATCAGGTCAAAAGAATCCCCACCAAACAAACTAATATTCCTTCTCATTTTCCCTTCTCAAAGGACAAGCATCGTGGAAGCTGGTGAGAACTTAGTGTCAATGTCATATTCCTTCTTATGCACGCCGTAATCCAAAATCATCATCCAGATGGTTATGTCTTGCAACCAGTTAAAACCATCGATTTCACTTGGAACCGCCAAGCAGTCCATGTCGCAGGACCTCACATTGAATGGTGGCGCTTCTGGAATTGAGGCTGTGATTTGGTGAGGAAGAGGCAGAGCATTGGGCAATTCGACGGCTAGGTTATATATCATCTATTGCAGCGGCGTAAATGGAGGGCCATAGACCCCTAACCGACCTCTAACCCAGCAACGCGGCGGTGAGCACGCTGGCCGATTGAGAGAGCTCGCGACCTGGTGTCTCACCAACCTGTTTTCCAAACTTGGAGATGGGGACAGTGAACTTAGGCTTTCTGTTTCAACTATGGTGCCCAACAGAGAGACAGCGCCAAAATCCAAGGACCTAGGGGAAATCAGCAAAGTCGAAGGAATGGAAACCGTTCCACGGCGGGGGAGGTCGCCGGTAGCAATATGTTGACCGGATATTTCAGTCAAGTCCGCTACTCATGACAAATTTTCAGTTTCTGGGTTCAAATTTTTATTGAAAGTAAATACTTCCATTTGATATTATTGACTTATCTTGAGAATTTTATGGATTATTGGCTTATCTTGAGATTCATAGTTTCTATGAATTGTGATCTTGATAAACAACAGAATGGACGAATTTGTGCTTCATGAAGCACTGCATGCTCCCAGAGTGGAGTAGTAGTGATTGGAAAATTCTGGTCCAAGATGTTTTGCAAATTCCTGGTAAGATTTGTCCTCTTACATTTCCATGGATTTGGATTTGGAGTAATTCCAGACTGCTTTTAAATATCAGGCATATTATATCATCAATCTATGTATATAATCCATATATCAACAAGCTGTTATTTTGCTTTTGAACAATTCTTGGGCTATTTCTTATCACACACGGGTTGTGTGTGTAAATATGTGCACATAATTTTTTTAATTATTTTTTATGTTAATTAAAAATGTCTACATAATTTTATCGTGTTACTTATAAGATAACCTCTCATGTTTTAAATTCTTCGCTTATGAATGTTGCGGTATGTATTTAATGTCTTCCCTTATGAATAATGTTACAATATGTAAACTGCATTGCAAGGAACATGGTTGGGTTTAGGTGTCCGTTTTAGGGTCCAATATGAGGCTGAATTGTTTTAAATGTTGGAATGGTTTAGGGTGTTTCCGTTTCCCTTGACCGAGAAAGACAGGCGGCATCGACACCGACACACCCTTAATGCTTTAGAGACGCATTTGTACGCACGAATATCTTATTTAGTGCGATAAAGGTTTAATTCATGATAAATACTTAAATCTTTCTTTTTTTTCACCCGTAGTAGATAACTTATGTAAACTAAGTTTCACAAACTATGAAAATGAGTTATATTCAGAGTTTCATATTTTTCTTAAATATAATTACCAGTAAGAAAATCATTTTTTGTTGAGCAAGTTTTTAATACAATCGTGTATTTCTCGAACAATCTCAAAAAAATCATATGTTTGAATGTGAAAAAGCTAATCTACAGTTTCAACTTCATCTATAGTACTCCATATATTAGTATGTCAAGGATGATCATATTTTAAGCTCTATGTCGATGTAAAGGCCCGTGATTTACTGACTAAAAGGAATCCCGACTATATAGGGTTGATTATTGTACTTTTAATTGTTTTGTCTAAAACATTGATTTTTGAACGATTTGTGATTTGTTTATGTGTGATTTATATTTTTGATGCTTTGTTTAATCATGACACATTGGGACATCATTTTTCATGGACATCATTTCAGATTCATATATACCAAATTCTTTTAAATTTGGTGTAAATTGAAAGTGAATTGCCCATCTTCAATAACATAGTGACATCTGGCAGATAAATAAAGAACATATCACCATGACACAAAGCACCTACATTAAATTCGGACAATCATCTATTTGTAAAATAAACCAATGATGAAGAAAACATGATTCATAACAAAATGCTATCCATTTAAAATTAAAGTTTATTTTTGAATACAATAGTGTTAAAAACCGAATTATAAAATTCAAGTAAGCTCTCAGTAAAATAAATTTGACTACCTGAATTTATACCACTGGATTTTAAAAATGCCATATTGCCATCTTAAAAAAATGCCACAATGTGGCAGGCATTATTTTACAAGTTAATAAAAATACATGTGCCCTGCAACTCAAATCCTTAAAATCCATGGTTGAAGCCTCCCATTTTCATATCCAAAATTCACAATCCAAAATTTTCAAATAAAAAATTACATTTTTATTTAGATTCTAAAGAATACACAAAGAAGTTAACAGAAAATTTAACAAATGCAAGATGCATAGAAAACGAAAGAGAGGGAGGCAGAAGGAGAATGAGAAGAAAAGAGGAGAAGAGAAGAAGGAAAAAGAGGAGAAGCCGCAGAGATGGTGGACAAAATAAATAAAGAGAGCTGGAGTCGGTCTGGAAGATTGATGCAAGTACATTGTAATACTCCGAATTTTTATCATGGGGGTTGGGGTACTTGGGGTTAAACAGGATATAACTGCTTCCTTGGCATTTCGAACTCATGAATGATGACTACCCATATAGGAGAACAAGGCAGCTACTAAGTGAGCTGGACCGCTTTATCATAATACTTCGTAAATATGTATTCTTCTATAAAAAATATTGCCCGCATCGGCTTTCACCAAACTATTCTTAAGTATAACTTCGTATATACTTCATAATTTTTTATTACATACTAGATATTGCAATTATTATTTTATAATTTACACATTTTATTTGTATAAGAATTTTTTTCACTAATAATGCTAACAAATAATAAAATATAATTGGTGCTTAATTTTAATCCGTGCATCGCACGGGTGATATTCTAGTTAGATCAAGATGGTGTCACGGAAATAATACACTTTTTGAACCTTTTTAGCAATAATTTTCTTTGATAAAAGTAATGATTATTTTAAGAGGTAAAAGTTTCGTAAAAGAAAAAGATTGTAATGTTTGAATAGTTGGTTGATCAAGATTAACTGTTCAGAAATGTTTGGTGTGTATATTTTTAATACTTCTTTCGTCCCGCGATGAACTTCTCACTTTTTTTTGATGTTCCAGAAACAAGTTCTCATTTTTTTAAATGACAAGTTAATATATATCAAAACAATGTCAAACAGTGTCGAAACAGTTTCAAAACAGTAAAATTTACCTCATGGTAAATTTATTTCCTTAATATGTGTGTAGGTCAAACTGTGAAGTTCATTGTGGGACGGGGGGAGTATATGATCCGTACACCGTCAAATGTTTGGTACTTTGGTGTGTATATTTTTAATGAGGTGTTCGGGAAATGACGTTTTAGTCAAAAAATGGTGATTTGATCGCTTTTTGCGTTTTCAATAAATGAAAACGTTGTTTAGTAAATAGTTGTTCGGTTTTAGCGTTATTGGACGAAGCCGTTGAAATGAAAACGTTGTCGAGTTTTGAGTTGGTTTTTTGAAATACTCCGTATGACGTTTTCTACAAATTTTTATGGTCAACCAGATAAATTACCAAACATCTTTTGACAATCACCAACTTATTTCGCTAGTCAAAACCGTTGACTGGATCCATTATTGACAATCCGCTAACATAATTGACATTATTGACAATCCGCTAACCGCTAAATGTCAAACACATATATGATTCATACACTTTGTCAATATCACAAATATTTAATACTGTCTACGTCGCGTTGAAAGGTTTCCACTTTTCTTATTTGGATATACGTAGTATTATTTAAAGGTTCTCATTCCATTTTAGAAAATAATTTACTCTCTTTAATTACACATTTACTCAAATTTCTCTTTCCTACTCATTACATGTCAAGTCTCACAATCTCCTCAATTTATCTCACTTTAATTACTTTCACTTTATATGTTTACTTTTTCTAAATTTTCTTTTTACTCTTTTTTTTATCCAAATTATTTTATTTAACCACATGTCTAAAGATTCGGGTCAATTACTCACAAGAACTTTCCAACATAATGGAGGGATTACGTTTTTTCGACAACTTTACTTTTTTATTAGACGAATTGTTATGATATCAAAAAAAATATACAGAACATGTAGAAATTGTGTTTTCTTACTATTTGGGTTTGGCAAATAATTTATCAGCCGTTTTTACTCTTCAATTGTTGGGGTGAGATAAACTATTAACTAAAATTACATTCCTAATAAGGCAAAATCATATTGCTAACTCAACAACAACATATCACATTGTTGTTGTTGCTAACTCAAATGATATTTTATTAAAGGCTAAAAGGTCAAATAGGTACATGAACTAACTTAAAGTGTTCAATTAGCCCCTTATATAGGAGGTTCTGCCCGGCCGTCGCCAATTGGGGAAGTTCCCGGTGGAATATTTTGATGGAATTTTTTTAGCATCTTCTTCATTAAGTCTAGTTTACTCATACCAAATTTCAGT